GAAATTTTTAAACGTCGCATGGCGCTTGTGATACTTTGCCTGGAAGGTGACGACTTATGTTTCCACCGGTTGCCTTCAAATTATACTACTTGGGGCCATCCAGAAAGTAAAGTCTCCAGTAGATTTATCACAAACAGTTACTGCTGAGAAAAAGCCACTCTTGCAGAGTACCTACTCGTGAGAGTGATGAAACTTCCGTTTAACTTTTGGATTTACTTTTCCGCGTGACTGCAATTGAAATCTGAGTAATTTTGGAGTCAAAATCCAAAATAACATGGAGGAAGCAAACAATCCTCGGATTTACCTTTCCATTTAGTACTGTACTGTTTCTGCCGCCACTCTTTTTTGTTAAATGTCTTTTTCTCTGCAATAGTGCCAGGGTCTGTTTCTGGGTTGGATTGCTTTTGAGGAGCCATTTGGATTCTGAAAAATAAAAATACAGTACATTAGGATAGTTGACATTTTTACTCTAAAACGCGTATAAAACAATGAACAGTTCCTATAGTACGGCTCCTATTGTACTTTTACAAATTACAATTACTCTAACAGTTAAACAGCTTAAAAGTCAGCCTCAGTGGTGTAGTGGTCAAGGCAGTTCGCTGCCAACACTGAGGTCCCGGATTCAATCCCCGGAGGTGACTGATATTAGAAGACACTCAAATATCAGTCATCGTGACTGTGGATGACTATGCCACTCCAATACCCTGACCCTTCGAGGTTACAGGGTATGGGAGGGACATAGTCACCCAGTAAGTAATCCGTCTGCACTGTTCGGCTGGGTTGTGAAAAATCGGTAATCACTCGTAGTGTGCGCGACTGCCAGCGCTACCTATCAGTGTAGATTGCATCAACACAGTCCAACTCGGTGGAGGCATGGCCGTGCTCCGAAAGTCCGTGCTCTGCAGCGTCTGCCACAGTCTTTGATAAGACCTTCCGTTGGCTATCAGACGGCCGCTGAGCCTTGCGGAAATATAGATGATACTCAATGTGTCAATAGTACGAAGATATGTTAAGGAGTACGGTCCAACTTCGGGGTGCACGACGGCAGTTGCCAGTTGCCTTGGCCCCTTGAAGGCGCCTCGCCGGCCAGCCCGGCCTTACTTACTTACTTACTTAAACAGCTTAAAATTGGCACAGAATATTTTGCTGACCCAGAAGAAAAATGGTGGAAGCTTTCAAGAAATTATGAGGACTGGACCAATGAGTACAATAGAGTCGCAATGTACTGGAGCACAGATAAAGTCACTTTTTGATACCGTTTTGTCCAGGACTTCTGAGACTAGTGTGCGGCGATTAGCGGCACTGTATCTGCGGGGTCCGCTCAGAAAATACAGGCATAAAATTTATCTCATTAAAACTAGAAGTTCCGTACATTTTTTAATTAGTTATGATATTGGTCAATATAATTTGCCAAATTTCGCGAAAATAGCTAATGATTTAAAATAATAAATCCCAAAAACCCCTCATAGTCCGCGATTCTCTCATAAGCAGCTGTGTTGCAAAATGCCGTCGGGTTCACACTTGGTTCACACTTTCCAGCGAACAAGGGGCTGGAAATGGCCTGTTCATGGATTGACTTCATTGGCACTCCAGTACATTGCGACTCTATTGTACTCTATGGACTGGACTTCCGAAGAAAAAATAAAGTATGATAGAGGTGTCGTCAGCTAAGTAGACGGTTCTTTACTTTCGATTTGCAGGCGTTTTCGTGTATGACTACCGCATCTTCCATGCTTCTCAATTTCTTAATTAGCACTGGATGATAACATGTTATCAATACTTACATTGATATTTGATGATGGTGAATTCGATCGATAAGTTTAGACTTGTATTATGCACTTGAACTTCTTGTTTCAAATTTCATTACGAAAAAATCCTGGAAATTCCTTTAATTAATGCTTGCTCCTGCTTTTATTTTACGATTCCCTAAATCTACCTTGGATTTCCTGGGTGCCACACACGGGAGGCATAGAGAAAAAAAAGGAGGTGTTTGCATTTCGGGCATCTTGGAATTTTTCATAGAGTATCTATAGCTTTGATGACGTCATTGGGGGGTGCCACACACGGGAGGGATGAGGCGCCCAAAAGTGAGGCTCTGCTGCGCGCGCA